TGGCTTTGGCTTGGCCCAGCCCCAACCATTGTGGCCATTTGGGGGCTGAACCAATGGATGGAAGATCGATCGCTCTTTGTCTCTTCCTCTCTTTGTCACTCTGCCTTCCAAAGTAAATAAATAAATCTATTAAAATGAAAAACAAACCTATTTTTTTTTGACAGGCAGAGTGGACAGTGCGAGAGAGACAGAGAGAAAGGTCTTCCTTTGTCATTGGTTCACCCTCCAATGGCCACCACGGCTGGTGCGCTGTGGCCGGCGCATTGTGCTGATCTGAAGCCAGGAGCCAGGTGCTTCTCCTGGTCTCCCATGCGGGTGCAGGGCCCAAGCACTTGGGCCATCCTCCACTGCACTTTTGGGCCATAGCAGAGAGCTGGCCTGGAAGAGGGGCAACCGGGACAGAATCTGGTGCCCCGTCCAGGTCTAGAACCCGGTGTGCCAGTGCTGCAGGCAGAGGATTAGCCTATTGAGCCTACTGAGCCAAAAACAAACCTATAGAAAATGCCCATAAATCTCCAACCCATAAAATAGCAACTAAAGCAAGAGCTTAGGAACTGAAAACAGGGACCTGTCTTTGGAGAATAATGTTAACTTAAAAGGTCCTTATTTCCTTGAGTGGGAATAAGAGAGGGAAGAGATGTATAATTTGGGACATGCTCAAGCTGACTTGCCCCAAATGGTAGTTAGAAACATACCAGGGTACTCCAATTTAATCCCATCAAGGTGGCATGTACCAATGCCATCTCACTACTCCAAGTGATCAATTTCAGTTCACAATTGATCATAATGAAAGGACTAAGAGTCAAAGGGAGCACATAAGCAAGTCTAGGACCTGCTAACACTAACCGATAGAATAAATAAAGGGGAGAGTGATCCAACATGGGAAGTGAGATACCCAGCAGACTCATAGAATGGCAGATGTCCTAAATAGCACTCTGGCCTCAGAATAAGCCCTAAAGGCATTCGGATCTGGCTGAAAAGCCCATGAGAGTATTTCAGGCATGGAAAGCCAAGACACTCTGGCAAAAGATCTCTGTGAGTGAGATCCCAGTGGAAAGAACAGGTCTTCAAAGAAGGAGATACCTTTCTCTGAAGGGAGGAGAGAACCTCCACTTTGACTATGACCTTGTCTAAACAAGATAAGAATCGGAGAACTCAGAGGGCTTCCATAGCCTTGGAAACTCATGACTGGAGCATAGGGAGATTACTGATGCCATAGACAGGAGTGTCAATTGGTAAAGTCAACAACAGGAGTCACTGTGCACTTACTCCTCATGTAGGATCTCTGTCCTTAATGTGCTGTGCATTGAAATTTAATGCTATAACGAGTACTCAAACAGTATATTTCACTTTGTGTTTCTATGGGGGTGCAAACTGTTGAAATCTTTACTTAATGCATACTAAACTGATCCTCTGTAAAAAAAAAAAAAAGAAAAAAAAAAGAAAAAAACTATCAACTCCCAACTTGACTCTCACTGGGATTAAACACGACAATAGGTCTGATCTGATTTCATCATCATTAAAAAAAATCATCTATTATTTTTCACTTTATGTTTCTGTGTGGGAGCAAACTGTTGAAATCCTTACTTAATGTATACTAAGCTGATCTTCTGTATATTAAGATAATCGAAAATGAATCTTGATGTGAATGGAAGGGGAGAGGGAGTGGGAAAGGGGAGGGTTGTGGGTGGGAGGGACGGTATGGGGGGGAAGCCATTGTAATCCATTATTCGTACTTTGGAAACTTATATTCATTAAATAAATAAATAAAAAAATTGAAAAAAAAAAAGGTCCTTATTTCCAATCATTTGAAAATGCAGAACATGGTAATGCTATATTTGTAGGTGTTGATTTCATCACTATGTGTTTGGAGCTAAGATCCTGTTTATCAAAATTTGAAACCCACCAAAGACAATTTGAGGAGTTACATATTGAATGATTGTACAGGACAAACAGGATTTGGCCCATAGCTTGGTGGTGAAGACGCCCATCACCCCCTTGTGGAGTACTGAGTTTTGATTCCTGGCTCTGAATATTGACTGCAGCTTGCTGCTAATGCAGACAACAGAACATAGCAGGGATGGGCAAAGTAACTGGGTTGCTGCACACATGTGGAAAAATCTGCATTGAGTTCCAAGTCCTAGTTCTGTCTTGGACCAGCCACAGATACTGCAGCTTTGGGGGAATGAGCCAGTGGATGAAAGTTTTCTCAGGCCCTGTCTCTGCCCATCAAAAGAGCAGATAAACAATATCTGAGTGAGCACTTAAATCTACACAGCATGGAACAGAAAAACCAAGCATTGGTAAAACTTGGATGACAATGGACACAAAATTTCCTAATTGTGAGCCATCCACTTCAATTTAGTGTTTAGACAAAGCACTGGCAGCTCTTACAGAGCATTTATAAACATTCTTAATTAAGGATATATGCACCATTGTTTAGAAAATTAAGGCATTTTACTGCTAATTTCCTTCACGTTCATGTGTTTGTCAGTTCCTAATGTGCTTGGTTGCCTAACATTGTTCAGTTGAGTGTCTCTGAAGCACGTTGAGTATAAAAGGAGCTGAATAACATGGAAACCAATCATGGATGATCCCTAAGAAGACTGAGTTTGAAATCACTGAGAGAGGTGACAGACATTGAACAGTGCAAAAGTGTAAATATGAGGAGGTCTTCAAAAACTTTGTGGGGGCAGGTGCTATGATGTAGTAGGTTAAGCCTCCACCTGTAGAGCTGGTATCCTATGTGGGCACTGGTTAGTGTCCTGACTGCTCTACTTCTGATCTAGCTCTCTGCCTATGGCCTGGAAAAGCAGTGGAGGATTACCCAAGTGCTTGAGCCCCTGCTACTCTCATGAGAGAGCTAGAAGGGGCTCTTGGCACCTGGCTTCAGATCAGCTCAGATCTGGCTGTTGTAGCCATCTGGAGAGTAAATCAGAGGATAGAAGATCTTTGTGTCTCTCCCTCTGTGTCTGTGATTGTACCTCTCAAATAAATAAAATCTGTTTTAAAATGGGGTGGGCGCTGTGGTGCAGTGGGTTAATGCCCTGGCCTGAAGCGCCGGCATCCCATATGGGTGCTGGTTCAAGACCCAGCTGCTCCACTTCTGATACAGCTCTCTGCTATGGCCTGGGAAAGCAGTAGAAGATGGTCCAGGTCCTTGGTCCCCTGTACCTGGTGGGAGACCAGGAAGAAGCCCCTGGATCCTGGCTTTGGGTTGGCGCAGCTCCGGCTGTTGCAGCCAATTGAGGAGCTAACCATTGGATGGAAGACCTCTCTCTCTGTCTCTGCCTCTCTCTCTCTCTCTCTCTCTCTCTCTCTCTCTCTCTGCCTCTCCTCTTTTTCTGTGTAACTCTGACTTTCAAATAAATTAATTAATTAAAAAAAAAACTTTGTGGAATATACATCATGAAACAAAATAGGAATTTCAAAATCATACTGCACCAAGAAAACTTTTCATTTATTCCACACACCTGAGTTACCTTTGTGTTATACACATGACCAGCTGAAATGAAAATATATACAAGTGCTATGTGACAATTCATCTGCGTCATTTTACCAACACTCTTTTCTCTTCCAGAAGGAGTAGGGGTGACATTGAAAAAATCTCACACATGTCTCAGAATTCCATCTTACGGGCTTCTCAGAAGATCGAGACTTGCAGTCCCTCATTTTGGTGGTGTTCCTGTACATGTACCTGGTCACAGTGCTCAGAAACCTGCTGATCGCCCTGGCCATCAGCTCATACTCCCACCTCCACTCCCCCATGTACTTCTTCCTCTGTAGCCTCTCCTTGGCTAACATGGGTTTCACCTCCTCCACAGTTCCTAAGATGATTGTGGATGTCCACACTCACAGCACAATCATCTCCTATGTGGGCTGCCTGACGCAGATGTCTCTCTTCATCATCTATGGATGCACGGATGATTTCATTCTGAATATCATGGCCTATGACCAGTTTGTTGCCATCTTCCATCCGCTTCATTACAGGTCATCATGAACCCCCACCGCTGTGGCTTCTTGGTTTCAGTGTCGGTTGTGGCCAGCCTTTTGGATTCCCTGCTGCACAGTTTGATGGTCTTGCAAGTTACCTGCTTCAAGGATGTTGAAATTTCCAGTTTCTTCTGTGACCCTTCTCAGCTTCTCAACCTCACCTGCCTTGACACCATCACCCATGACATATTCATTTATTTTACTGGCATCATGTAGGTTCCCCGCCTCAGGGATCCTTTACTCTTACTATGAACCTGTTTCCTGAGAGTCCCATTACTAGGTGGGAAGTACAAAGTCTTCTCCACCTGTGACTCTCACCTGTTGGTTGTTTCCTTGCTTTATGGAACAGGCCCGATTTCAGCTTTCTCACTTTCTCCCTGGCAGTGTGCAGTGGCCTCAGTGGTGTACAGTGTGGTCACTCTCACAGTCTGAGGAGCAGGGACATCGAGAGCACTATGCAGAGACTCCTCAATAAAACAGTCTAATTTCAGTCCCTGTGCCCTCCCTTGGATGGGACTTTGGACAAGACAGCAAAGCCAAACATCTAGGGGCTGGTGCTGTGGTGCAACAGGTTATTGCCCTGGCCTGAAGTGTTGGCACCTCATATGGGCACTGGTTTGAGACCCAGCTGCTCCACTTCCCATCCAGCTTTCTGCTATGGGCTGGGAAAGCAGTAGATGATGGCCCAAGTGCTTGGGCCCCTGCACCCACGTAGGAGATCTGAAAAAAGCTCCTGGCTCCTGGCTTCTGATCGGCATAGCTCTGGCTGTTGCAGCCCATGAGAAATGAACCATAGGATAGAAGACCCCCCCCTCTCTCCCTCTCCCTCTCCCTCTCCCTTCTCTGTGTAACTCTTTCAAATAAATACATCTTTTAAAAAAACTAGACATCTAGACCCAAGAATCTCACCTCTCTCATGTTTGAGACTCTCATGGCTTTCATCATTCTCCCCATCTCCTAAAGAAAATACATTCTGATGGGAAATGACTACTTACTTGATGAGGAAACACCAGAAGCCAGTGGGAAGCCAGTTTGTGCACAGAATGGCTAACACTGTCTGTGACATCATAGATTCTGCAGGAAGAAGGGAAACCATGGTTCCTCCTTTGGACTATATGATCATGGATACACCATGCAGCAGTATGATAGACACTGTGTAACTACACAATACAGAGAAACATCTGTCCATATGGCAGTTCTTCTGTAGGAACATTTGGCTGAGAGCAGATGGTTTAGAGGTTGTGTAACATGCTGGAAAGAAGAGGAATACATATACAACCTTGTGGTGCTTCCAGAACATCAAAAGTACTCTTTAGTACCTAAAGTGCTCAAGAATAGCACAGGCAATTACAGCCAAATAGACACATGGGATTACATCAAGCTGAGAAGCTTCTCCACTGCAGAAGAAACACTCAGCAAAGTGAAGAGGCAACTTATAGAATGGGAGAAAATATTTGCAGACTATGAAACTGATAAAGGATTAATATCCAGAATCTACACAGAGCTCAATTATCTCAACAACAAAGCAATCCAGTTGAGAAATAGTCAAAGAACTTGAACAGGCATTTTTCAAGAGAGGAAAATCAAATGGCCAACAGACACATGAAAAATATGCTCAGGATCACTAGGCATCAGGGAAATGCAAAACCACAATGAGGCCTTACCTCAACTCTGTTAGAATGGCTCTCATACAGAAATCAACAAACAGTAAGTGCTGGTGAGGATGTAGGGGAGAAGGTACCCTAATCTCTTGGTGGGAATGTAAGCTAGTACAGCCATGTGAAAGTCAGTATGGAGATACCTCAGAAAGCTGAAAACAGATATGCCTGATGACCTAGCAATCCCAATGCTGGGAATTTACCCAAATGAAATGAAATCAGCATATGTAAGTGTTATCTGTACCTTTATGTTTATTGCAATTCAATTCACAATAAGATAGCGAATCAACCAGATGTCCATCAGCTGATGACTGGATAAAGAAATTATGGTAAATATCCAGTATGGAGTACTATTCAGCTTTAATAGAGAATGAAATTCTATCATTTGCAACAAAATGGATGCAACTTGAAACCACTATACTTAGTGAAATAAGCCAGTCCCAAAAAGACAAATGCATATGTTTTCCATGATCTGTGGTAATAGAGTACCAAAAATGTAATGTTTAGAAAACAAATCATATAGAAAACAAATCACTGATGATGACATTTTGAACTTCAACAATTGTTTACAGCCCTTGTATTTACTGTTGAGGAACAGGTTTTTTTCTTATTATTTTTGAACATACAATATTATGAATATAAAGTAAACTGAAAGTAGATCATTATAAAAATTAAGAGAAGGATTAGGAGAAGAAGGAAGTGGACGGGTGGGAGTATGGGTGTGAGGGAGGGAAGGCTAGGAAGTATCACTATGTTCCTAAATCTGTGTATACCTGTGTATACCTTAAGCAAAATTTAAAAAGCAATAATAATAAAAAAGAACTTATGAGAAAGACATCAACCTGTATATTCAGTCTTTAAGATGCTGGCCCCAGGAGAAGGTGTTTTGCACAGCAGTTAAGATGCTGCTTGGGATGCAGGCATCCCATAACTGAGTGCCTGAATTTGAGCCCTGGCTCTGCTTCCATTGTCTGCCTCTTGCTAATGTGCACCCTGAGGTGAAGCAGACAATGGCTCAGGTGTTTTTGTCTCTGCCACCTACATGGGAATTCCTGGGTTTGTCTGGCTCAGCACTGGCTCTTATGGGCATTTGGAGAGTGAACAATAGATGGAAGTTCTATGTATCTCTTTGTATCTCTCTGCCATTTAAATATTAATAAATATTTAAAAATAATTAAATAGTACAAAGAATGTTGGTTTCATGCCAGTAAAATAGTATGTGTATGTCTTTCTCTGAGACTCACATGCATTAGGAGGGCCCATGCATAGCTGTTTTCCTGACAGTCTGAGGAGAAGGCCTCAGCCCTCATTGCTCACTGGACATAAAGGGACAGTGTACACTCACTCCCCAGTCATAGCCCTCAGCAAGGGAGCCCAGTCCCATGAGTCCTCTGGGACACAGAGGATGCAGGAGGGAATGTTGGAAACCTTGTCTCCTTGAGTGTAGGACCAGCAATGTGGTTGGGGTAACCAGATTGACCAGGATCAAAATGAAAAGTCTCAGCCCCAAAGCATGAGGTGTATAATCTAGGTTCTTAGAGGGACTTTCTAAACCGTAAGTGAGAATTCTGATTTTCTTTAACATTTTCTCTTAATAGGGTTAGTCATCACGTTTACACAACCATTTGCTATACCTCAAGAATAACTGAAGATATTTTATATACATGGGGTCTCTCAAAAATTTTATGGAAATTAGACATGAACATCTGTTTTAATTTTTTAAACAAGCATTTTAAAGTATCCTTTCTTCCTACTGCTCCTCTATTATTTAAGTATAAAATAACAATTAAATATGTGATTATCAATTGTTTTTCAATATATGAATTTACTTCCATAAGAGACACAACTCAGAAATGAAGACTAAATCAAACTAGTAAAAAGCCCAGAAGTCCCCAGACATGAAATATCAATCCAAGCATAGGCTTAGGAAATAAGATGTCTTTAGAAACTAAGAAAATGGAAAAGGTTGATACATTTTCCATTCTTTACACAGAAAATCCAATTATCCTTACTTTTGTAATTGATATAATACTTTGACAGATGAAACAATCCCACATTGAGGTGTGAAAATGCAAACCAGAAACTGAATTTGATGTAAAGATCCTACAACTTGGAAGTCAGCAGCAGGGAGCACCGATGGGTGAGCTCTCTGTGAACAGGTTCTGGGTACACTTGCTTTTCTCCTTTTCCTCTTCCAATGATATCAGAAAGTCCTTGGAGACCAGGGTAACATGGACCTATGGGCTAATTAGGAGCTCAGTGCCTTGAGCCCCCACCCACCCAGTCCTACAAGTGCAAATAATGAGCCAGTGACTTCAGAACTTGACTTGCCAGACAAATGTTGTGGCTCTGTACTCATGTCCAGTCCTTGTGAACATCTGGGTTTCAGGAGGCCCAGCCCATCTGTCTTCCTCCCACCCCTGAGTACAGGGCCTGAGGCTTCCCTGCATACCAGGCGAGAAGTAAGCAGTGGACCGGGCTCATTTTGCCATGCTTCAGTGAGTGCTGAGGGAGACAGTGGAAGGAGGTGGGAATGTCAGCCTTGATCTCCACATCTTTGGGAGAAACAGAACAATTGGAGTAGATGGATGGGAAGGAAGCAGTAGGCAAAGTTCCAGCTCAGGGAACTGTGAAGTTTACATCCTTGGTTCTCAAGGGTCTCAAATAACTCATTGAGCATTTTTCTTTCCTTCCACTGATTCTTCTCACTAGAATCTTCTTCCTGATAGGAGCAAATGAGTCTCTGAACTCCCGAGCACTCACACATGATCATGAAGGTGAGGAGGAGGAGGATGTAGTAACCATAATGTCACCAACCTTACTGAGGGTGTCCTACGAGCCAGGCTCTGAATTCTGTGTCCTATTCAACCTGCTTCTTCTCATCTATATAATCCCCCACATTATGTTGCAGATACTACTTTTATGTTACAGAAGTGGAGAGGAGCACAATTGTGGGGACCCATGAGCCGGCCATGGGCCCACATGCTAAGGCTTAGCTTGCTGACCGTTTGCAATAGTTACTGCTGTGTGGATGTTTATGGTTTCTGTTGAGCTGCGATATCGGGACCTTTCCATAACCCCAGGCTAGAGTCAAAAGAACTATGGCCTTGGAACTTCCTGCACTCCTTTTCCCACTGACCAAGAGTTGAGAAAACACCAGGTGGAGCAACAATAAGCTTGCTGCTAGCATCCGAGTCACCTGCTACGTGACCAGAAGCTTGATTGGATGAAGGCGCGTGCTCACCTTTATGGTTGGACAAGGAGTGCATGAACTGTGCGTGATCAGGCACCTGATTGGAGCGCTGCCGCATGAACTGTAGCATGGACTAAGCTTGCATTACATGCTTCTGCAATGATATACTATATAAGCCATTCATGAAATAGTAACGGGAGCTTCCCCTTTCTTTCGGAGCTCCCCTTGCTCAAGGGTTTCTTTTTCTATCCTGTTTAAATAAAGCCTACTGAAGACCGATAAGCTGTGAGCAACATCGTTCCTTTGTGGGCAGGGGAGCGACACACAATGTTTTTGTGTAACTTATACTAGGCTGTGAGGTAGAAATGGGTGAAACCATAACCGAGTCAGGTTGTCTGACTGCAGACATGAGCATGCCCAGTCTCCCTCCTGACAACCTAGCCGTTCATCTCTCTTTCCTGTCACTCCAGGCTGACAATCTGTTGACCGTGCTCTGCCTTTGGGGTTTCTTGGTAGATCACAGCAGGCAGCAGTGGGACAAGGTGACTGGGCTCAGAGAGAGAGCAGACATGGGATCAGAGTCTGTCTCTCTCTCTCTCTCTCTCTCTCTCTCTCTCTCTCTCCACTCCACTCCAAGATTTCACTTCAGTCATCCACTTTCTTCCCAACTCTTGTAATCACCTCACTGGATCTCAAAAGAGACTAGACTGGGGTCTTAGTTTCCATTTCTACTGCAGAAACTGGGAAGAATTTTAAAGGACCTTGTAGAACCTGTGGTTTGGATCTCTAGTGCTCTAACCCTCCTTGATGATTGGGAGAAAATGGGGGTCTTTGGTAAACTGGATCCAGAGACTTTCAATGTCATTTGGACTCCTGCCTGCTCACTGATGATTTCTGTGATGGTGGGCAGGCTGTCAGTTCCCTGAGAATCTGCATTGTCATCTGAGCTGATGCTTCATTGATAGAACTGCACTGATGCCGGCGCCGCAGCTCACTAGGCTAATCCTCTGCCTTGCGGCACCGGCACACCGGGTTCTAGTCCCAGTCAGGGCACCAGATTCTGTCCCAGTTGCCCCTCTTCCAGGCCAACTCTCTGCTGTGGCCAGGGAGTGCAGTGGAGGATGGCCCAAGTACTTGGGCCCTGCATCCCATGGGAGACCAGGATAAGTACCTGGCTCCTGCCATTGGATCAGTGCGGTGTGCCAGTCACAGCGTGCCAGCCACGGCAGCTATTGGAGGGTGAACCAATGGCAAAGGAAGACCTTTCTCCTGTCTCTCTCTCTCTCTCTCAGTGTCCACTCGGCCTGTCAATAAATAAATAAAATAAAATAAAATAAAATAACCGCACTGATAATAGGTTTTTTTTTAACTGATAATAGGTGCCCCCTATGGGATCTGTATGTGATGATGAATCAAAGAATAAAGAACAATTTAGATATTATTGATCACTATTTTAAAGTTAATCTTCTTATAAAAGAAAGTCCTCTAGCCTGATGTAATGCTTTCGTATTTCTGTAAAAGGACCAGTTGGCCTCGTTCTTAGTGAGAGGAATTCAAAAGATTCATGGAAAAACAAGGTAAAAACTTTGAGCTTATTTTGGTCTAAATTTTTTGATATCCATACATGTGTTTTTCACAATACACCTTTTTCATATATTATGAAAAAATTTATACCAAAAGCTCTTTTGTATTAAAATAAACTCAAACTTCCATTCATCCAAAGCATTTTAGAGCATAACCATACCCTCACAAACGCATTTGCTGTGTGTTTGGAGAAGAACAGTCTTTTGTTCCAGATTCCCCAGATGCTCATCTGTTGCTTGGCACAGAGGAGGCATAAAAAAAAAGGTAAATAATGAATAGACCTTTTCTTGGCTCACAATAGCTGGCCATACTTAGTAACACAGGTCCTATATCTCATTAGTAGCACCTGCAGCATTACTATTGTTTATAGTTATTCAAAAAATCAAGGCAGAGGTTCTTTTATGTAGAATAAAAAACCTAGAGAAGGGGCAAACATTTTGTGTGGGGTGAGACCTTTTTTTGAGTTGGATATCATTGTAGCTTCCCATGCCTTTGACAATGGTATACACTAACAAACTTGCTAGCTCTATAATGAGAGAATTCTGTATTTTATTTTATGTATTTTTAAGATTTCAGAAGTTTAGTTATAGATGAGAGAGGGAGTGACAGAGAGAAAGATCTTGCATCCACTGGTTCACTGTCACAATGGCTGCAGCTGGGTCGATCCAAAAAGCCAGGAGCCAGGAGCTGCCTCTGGGTCTCCCATATGGGTACAGGGACCCAAGAACTTGGGTAAACTTCTACAGCCTTCCTAGGCCAGAACAGAGAGCTGGATCAGAAGAGGATCAGCCAGGACTTCAACCAGTGCCCACATGGGATGTTGGCACCACAGGTAGAGGCTTAGCCTACTATGTCACAGTGCCAGCCCCAAATTCTGTTTTAAAACCTCACAATGACCAAATATTCAGGTTCTAAACTTCCCTTAGATGCTACACCTGTCATAGATATGTGTGTTCTTCCTGTATCCAGTAGACAATGGAAGCACACAGGGGTGCAGAGATTCACACGCATTGTGTCTATAGTGGGTAAATGATCTGGGATGGAAACACTGGTTTCCCCACTCCTTCTCAGAGCACTGTCTCCTTCACTGGAGTATACATCTTGTATACAAGATGAAACCTCTCAGTGAGTAATCATGGGAGAATTATGACTAGATATAACCCAGGGATATATATTCAATGGCATATCTTAAGAATAAGAAGTTGTAGCTGATTATGATTGCTTTTTTATGGGGACAGCTGATGTAAATGATTAATAGTAAAATTGCCCATGCACTGAATATTGCAACTCAAACAACTCTATTACATGCACATATCTTATAGCAATTCTCATTTGTGTGATATGGAGACAGAAGAATTTTTGAAAGATTATCAGAATAATAAATCGGCAAATGAAATGATGTTCCTCTCTCAGGCAATGACAGGAAGCAATCATAGTGTTTGAAGGAGACATGAGCACATCACAGAGAGACTTAAACCCAAACATCAATGTATACTTGTACATTTCATGGGCAAGAGGTATAGAATTCTACTCAGATGAGCTTCAAGCATTTTGCAGAAAAGTTTTAGAGAAAACTATTGAGGGATTCAGAAATTAATACTGATTCAGAGGGGCAGGCATTGCTTGTGAAGCAGATTAAGCTGCTTCATCCATATTGCGTTGCCTGATTCCAGACTTGGCTTACACATCTTCCAATTCAGCCTCTTGCTAATATGCCTGGGAGGCAGCAGATGATGGTCCAAGAACTTGGGTTCCTGCCACTCATGTGGGAGACATGGATGGGGTTCCTTGTTCCTGGCTTTGGCCTAGCACAGCCCCAGCTGCTGTGGGGATTTAGGGAATGAACCACAGGATGGAAGATCAATCTCTCTTTCTCTATCATTTTTACTCCATGTCTCTCTGTCTTTCAAATAAAATAATCAACAGAAATTTTATAACAGATTTTAGAGTTTTTTCTTAAAACAGCTCTATAAAGGAGATAATTATTATTGATATTTTACAGAGGTGGTAAGTATTGAGTGTATTTACATTATTTTCTGGAACTTTCTGTTTTGCATTTTTTCACCATTCAAAGACAGTATAACCTAGCAAAATAATAAACTAGCATTGCCTTTAGTCAGATGAAGTTAGAAAAATTACAATCCATGTTCTAGGAAGCAATGACATAAAAATCCTTGAATTATGCATAGGAAGTTTCAGACTCAGAGCTGTTTTGGAGTTTTCCTGATATCACTCACCTCAAATGTAAATAAGAAGGTTAATCATAAGAAAAATGACCAAGCAGTATTGCTAGGCCACTAAATAATACATAATAAAAAATTTTAAAATGTTTCAAGTAAATAGCTCTCATCTACCAGGTATTTATAAAGATTCTAAGGGGAGCATACAAAGAAACCTGTAGATAATTTTAAAAATTCAAGTGGTTCTTAACATTTCACTGTTTCTAAACATTGACAGGTACAGAATGCACTAATGTTCCAATTGTGGTCATTGATTTCATAGGACTATGTGTATTTGGCAGTGACTTTTACAAAAATTTGAAGCCAAACAATGCCAAGCACTGGAGTTATATATTAAATGGCACTAAGAGGCAAAAAGGAGTGAGTGTAAATAGCATAGTGGTTAATGTGCCACCTCCCACACAGTACCTAGGGTTGATGACTAGCCCTGTTTCCTGACTTTTTCTTCCTGTGAATACAGATCCTGGCAGGCAGTGGTCAAATGGTTGAGTCTCTACTCAGGGGAGATCTGGATTGAGATAGGAATAAGAACTCACAATTCCTACCTTGTTCCAGCCACAGCCTTCACTGGCATCTGCGGAGTGAAGCAGTGGATGAGAGTGCTGTCTCTCTTTCTCATCTCTGTCTCTCAAGAAAAGGAGCTAACAATAATAGAGTGAGCACATACATCCACAAAGGAGGGAGTCAGAAGAGCCAGGAATGGGTAGATCCCTGGAAGACAACAGGCACACAGCACAACAGCATGTCCTGGTTGTAAAGAATCAGCCTTAGCTTGGGGTCCAGACAATACATTCATAGCTTTATAGAAGACTTATAAAACTTATGAATGAATGGAATTTGTACCATTGTTGTAGATTTAAAAAAGGCATATTTAACTGTTTTTAAATTTCCTTTAATTCAACTGTTTTTCTTAAATACTAGATTGCATTTGACTGCGGCCATAGACTTGTTAGGTCCAATGCTCTTGACTTTCTAACATTTGTGAGACTCTTTAAAGCTTTTGCACAGAGAGCGGAAGCACAGAAACCAATCATAAAAGATCTCTCAGAAGACTGAGTTTGTCACCATTGAAAAGATGACAGAATTTGGTCACCAAGTGTGAATATGAATGTTTCCCCCAGAAAATACAGGAAAATTTGTATCCTGAAAAAAAAAGCATGAATTTCACAACTGTGTTACAACAAGAAAACTCTTTTATTTGAATACAACTTATTCTGTGAACGCTAGAGTTACCCTCATGCTATATCCATGCACACATGACTTGAAGACAGAGAGAGTGCTGGGTGCCTGTTTATCTGTTTCCTTTTACCAATCGCATTTTCCTTTCCAAAATGACTCCAGGTTGTTTTGAAACACAAAATCTCACACAAGTCTCAGAATTTCATCTCATGGGTTTCTCAGAGGATCCAGAACTGCAGCCCTTCCTCTTTGTGCTGTTCCTGTCCATGTACCTGATCACAGTGCTCAGGAACCTGCTCACTGACCTGACCATCAGCTCAGACTCCCACCTCCACACCCTCATGTACTTCTTCCTCTGCAACCTGTCCTTGGCTGATGTGGGTTTCACCTCCACCACAATTCCCAAGATGATTGTGGACATCCACACTCACAGCACAGCCATCTCCTATGTGGGCTGCCTGACACAGATTTCTCTCTTTATTATCTTTGGGTGCATGGTTGATTTGCTTCTGACCGTGATGGCCTATGAACGGTTTGTTGCCATTTGTCATCCATTGCATTACCAGGTCATCATGAACCCCTGCCACTGTGGCTTCTTACTTTCCAGGTCTTTTGTGGCCAGTCTTTTGAAATTCCTGCTGCAGAATTTGATGGTATTAAGAGCTACCTGCTTCAAAGATGTTGACATTTCTAATTTCTTCGGTGAACCTTTCAGCTTCTCACCCTTACCTGCTCTGACACTTTCACTCATGACACAGCCATAGATTTTGTTGGCATCATCATATATGGTTTTCTCCCTATCTCAGGGATTCTCCACTCTTACTACAAAATCATTTCCTCCATTCTGAGAGTCCCATCAGCTGGTAGGAAGTACAAAGCCTTCTCCACCTGTGGCTCTCACGTGACTGTTGTATGTTTATTTTATGGAACATCCCTCGGGGTGTATCTCAGTGCAGTAGCCTCACTTTCTTCCAGGAAGTGTGCAGTGGCCTCAGTGATGTACACTGTGGTCATCCCCCTGCTCAATGCCTTTATCCACAGCCTGAGGAACAGGGACATCAAAAGGGCCATGTGGAGACTTCTCAGTCAGCAAGCTATTTAGAGTACAGATTGGAAAGGCAGCAAAACTCAGCATCCAGACCCTACAATCTCCCCTGGCTCATCACATCACACTTGAGGCTCTCATGGCTTTCATTCATCTTTTATAACTGAGATTTCCTGTTTTGATCTTTCTTCATGGAAGCATTATATATTTATCCTTGCATACCTGACTCATATTGTATCTATGGACCCTTCTGTATTTCATTATGGATGATCCAGCTATCCTGCAAAAAATAAAATATGCTTTCCTTTTTGTTATTTAAAATTGATATCTGGGCTGGCACTGCAGCTCAATAGGCTAATCCTCCACCTATGGCGCCAGCACACCAGGTTCTAGTCCCGGTCAGGGTGCCAGATTCTGTCCCAGTTGCTCCTCTTCCAGTCCAGCTCTCTGCTGTGGCCTGGGAGTGCAGTGGAGGATGGCGCAGGTGCTTGGGCCCTGCACCCACATGGGAGACCAGGAGAAGCACATGGCTCCTGGCTTCAGATCAGCGCAGTGTGCCAGCTACAGTGTGCCAGCCGCAGCACCAATGGAAAAAGGAAGACCTTTCTCTCTCACTGTCCACTCTGCCTGTCAAAAAAAATTTGTATCTTTTCCATAATTTGTATGTACTTTCCATGCACATTTCCATATACATCCTTCTAAATTATTTGATCTGGTTATCCATGAGGATGCATATCACTGCTCCTTTTTATGAAACCCTAAAAGAGCTTTAAAAATTCTGATGCCTGGATTTTACTACCAGAGGTTCTGATTTCTTGAACTGATGTGTGGCCTGAGTATGAAAATTTCCAAGCACCCAGGATAAGCTGAAAACTTTGCCACCAGTTCATTAACAGTTTGATTTTAAGTGATGAATCCTGATACCCTTGCTGTTTCCATGATTTTTTCTTTGTGATTTTTACAGTTTAATTATAATTCATGTTGAATGTGTTATAATTGGAATTCATGGAACTTCTTAAATGTGTATGTCCACTTCTTTCTTCAAATTTGGGAAGTTTCCAATTTTGGTCATTATCTCTTCAAACTGGCACACTTGCATTCTCTCTCTCCTTTCTATGGAACTCCCACAATACATATACTGGTATGCCTGTGGCATCCCATAAGATCCTCCCAATGAATAAAAGCCCAGGACCAGATGGCTTTGCTGCTGAATTCTATCAGATATTTAATGAAAAACTAATTGCAAATCTATTCAAATTATTGAAAGCAGTTGAAAGGGAAGGAATCTTCCCAAATTCTTCTATGAGGCCAACATCACTTTAATTCTTAAACCAGAAAAAGATACAATAAAGAATTATTGGTCTGGGTGGATGATGTTTCTGATATGTTGTTGTATTCTAGTGGGTAGAATTTTATTGAGGATTTTTGCATCTATGTTCATCAGGGATATTGGTCTGTAATTCTCTTTCAATGCTGCATCTTTTTCCGGCTTAGGAATTAAGGTGATGCTGGCTTCATAGAAAGAATTTGGGAGGATTCCCTCTTTTTTGATTGTTCTGAATAGTTTGAGAAGAATTGGAGTTAGTTCTTCTTTAAATGTCTGGTAGAATTCAGCAGTGAATCCATCTGGTCCTGGGTTTTTCTTTGTTGGGAGGGCCTTTATTACTGTTTCAATTTCTGTCTCAGTTACGGGTCTGTTTAGATTTTCTATGTCTTCCTTGTTCAATTTAGGTAGGTTGCATGTGTCCAGAAATCTATCCATTTCTGATAGATTTTCTTGTTTGCTGGCATACAAGCCCTTGTAGTAATTTCTGATGATTCTTTTTATTTCTGTGGTGTCTGTTATTACGTTTCCTTTTTCATCTCTGATTTTATTGATTTGGGTCTTTTCTTTTTTTAGTTAGTTGGGCCAATGGGGTGTCAATTTTGTTTATTTTTTTCAAAAAAACAGCTCCTTGTTTGGCTGATTTTTTGTAATTTTTTTTGGATTCAATCCTGTTGATTTCTTCTCTGATTTTAATTATTTCTCTTCTTCTACTAGATTTGGGTATGGTTTGCTGCAGATTTTCTAGATCCTTGAGAAAAATTGAAAGCTCATCTATTTGGTGCATTTCCAATTTCTTGATGTAGGCACCTATTGATATAAACTTTCCTCTTAACACTGCTTTTGCTGTATCCCATAAGTTTTGGTATGCTGTGCTGTTATCCTCATTTACTTCCAGAAAGTTTTTGATTTCTCTTTTGATTTCTTCTATGACCCATTGTTCATTCTGGAGAATGTTATTCAATCTCCATGTGTTTGCATATGCTCTAGGGATTCATGAGTTGCTAATTTCCAGCTTCATTCCACTGTGGTCTGAGAAGCTGCATGGTATGATTCTAATTCTTTTGAATTTGCTGAGACTTGCTTTATGGCCTAGTATGTGGTCAATCCTAGAGAAGGTTCCATGTACTGCTGAAAAGAATGTAAATGCTTTCTGTGTAGGATGAAAAATTCTGTAGATATCTGTTAGATCCATTTGGGCTATAGTGTCATTTAAATCTACTGTCTCCTTGTTGATCTTCTGTCCTGTTGATCTGTCTATTTCTGGGAGTGGAGTATTAAAGTCCCCAGTACTATTGTATTGGGGTCTAAGTCTCCCTTTAAGTCCCTTAACAAATCTTTAAATAAACTGGTGCCCTGTAATTAGGTTCATATATATTGATAATCATTATATCTTCCTGTTAAATTGATCCCTTAATCATTATATAGTGCCCCTCTTTGTCTCTCTTAACAGTTTTTGTGTTAAAGTTTATTTTGTCTGATATTAAGATGGCTACGCCCGCTCTTTTTTCATTTCTGTTGGCATGGTATATCTTTCTCCAGCCTTTCACTTTCAGTCTGTATGCATTTTCTTGGAATGATGTGTTTCTTGTAAGCAGCAAATAGATGGGTTTTGTTTCTTAACCCAATCAGCCAAGCAGTGTCTTTTAACTGGACAGTTCAGGCCATTAACGTTCAATGTGACTAATAATAAGTGGTAACTTTGCCCTGCCATTTGCCAAAGATGTTTTCTAATATATGCTTTGAATTCCCTGTGATCTTTTGCTGTGAGGTTTCCTTCCTTTACCTTCCTTCATATTGATGACCGTATTTCTGTGTTTCTGTGTGTAACACATCTTTAAGTATCTTTTGCAGGGCCGGACGAGTGGCCACAAAGTCTTTCAATTTCTGTTTGCAGTGAAAAGTCTTTATTTACCTTCATTCACAAATGAGAGCTTTGCAGGATATAATATTCTGGGCTGCCAGTTTTTCTTAGCACCTGTGCTATATCTCGCCATTCCCTCCTAGCCTGTAGTGTTTCTGATGAGAAGTCTGCTGTGAGTCTAATTGGAGATCCTCTGAGAGCAATCTGACGTTTCTCTCTTGCACATTTTAGGATCTTTTCTTTATGTTTCACTGTGGTGAGTTTGATTACAACGTGTCATGGTGAGGATCTCTTTTGGTCATGTTTATTAGGGGTTCTATGAGCTTCCTGTACTAGGATGTCTCTGTCCTTCTCTAAACCTGGGAATTTCTCTGCAAGTGTCTCACTAAAAAGGCCTTCTAATCCTTTCTCTCTCTCCATGCCTTCAGGAACTCCTAGAACTCAAATATTGGATTTTTTAATAGTGTCCTGTAGATTCTCAACCATATTTTTTAGATTTCTAATTTCCTCTTCTTTTCTTTGGTTTGACTCTATACATTGCTGTGCTCTGTCTTCTAAGTCTGATATTCTCTCTTCTGTTTCACTGACTCTGTTTTTAAGACTCTCTAATGTGTTTGTCATTTGATCTATTGAGTTCTTCATTTCATTTTGATTTCTCTTCACTATCACACTTTCCTGTTCTACTAGTTTCTGTGTTTCATTTTGATTCATCATTAAGTTTTCATTTTCTCGAAGGAGATTTTCTATCCTGTCCAGTACGGAATTCCATACTTCAAGCATTTGTTTTTGAAAACTTCTAATTGTTCTTATCATAAATTTTTTGTAATCCGTATCTTGCATTTCTTCCATCTCATCATCTTCATAATCTTGGTTTGGGGTGTCTTGTTCATTTGCGTGTGTCATAATGTCTTCCTTGTTCTTGTTTCCTTGGTTTTTGCATTTGTTGCTTGGCAATGTGGAGATATCTTTGGATTCTTCTTCCGTCGCCACGGTGTTTTTTCTTGTTATACTATGACTGTATTAAGTGGAGTGTCTGCTTTTCATGGAGCCTTAGAGGCTTGAGATGGGTGTGGCCTGAGAGCTCTGTTTCGTTCCTCAGGGTTAAGGGTTTGCCAAAGGTGACACTCCCAGATTAGGCGTGGGAAATCTCTCTCTCTCTCTCCCTTTTCTTTCTTTCTTTCTTTCTTTCTTTCTTTCTTTCTTTCTTTCTTTCTTTCTTTCTTTCTTTCTTTCTTTCTTTCTTTCTTTCTTTTTTCTTTCTTTTTTGATTCAAAAGGGACGTAATTCTGCACAGCTGAACGGAATTGAAGGTAGTTAGCAGGCGAATGATATACCCACAAGTGCCAGAGATCAGAAGCTCTTTCCCAAGGACCACACAGGGAATCTGTTCTGCCCTCAGTGTGGGCTCAAATTCTCCTGCAGTCTCCCACTGGGTTGCCAAGGTTACTGAATTGTAGTGTCTCTGGAGAGTACTGACATGAATTCTGTGAGTTCTCTCCCCCACCGTCTATTCTTTCAGTCTCAGTTCATTAGCACCACACATTCACTAGGTCCTAATCTCCTGTTATTTCACACACACACACACCCCACCCCGAGTCAGGTTTTTCTGCTAGGCTGAGGGCTGGTGCAGACTTGAGGTTGCCCTGCTTATGGTGTAAGTCCAAAATGGCGCCTGCTCTTTGTCTTGCTCGCCTTTTAAGAGGTGAGCAGAGAGAGAGAAACTCGTGCCCGTATCGGTCATTTTTTTTTCCTCTCTCTTCTAGTTAGCCTGGTAAACTTTTCCCCACAGGGTTTCAAGCCTCGACCTGACAGCAACAAATTATTAGAGAGCATTGGAAAAACCCTGCAAAATATAGGTACCGACAAAGACTTCCTAGAAAAGACCCAGGGGGCTGAGGCAGTCAAAACCAAAATTAACATTTGGGATTGCATCAAATTGAGAAGTTTCTGTACTGCAAAAGAAACAGTCAGGAGAATGAAGAGGCAACTGACAGAATGGGAAAAAATATTTGCAAACTATGCAAAAGATAAAGGGTTGATAACCAGAATCTACAAAGAGATCAAGAAACTCCAGAACAACAAAACAAACAACCCACTTAAGAGATGGGCCAAGGACCTCAGTAGACATTTTTCAAAAGAGGAAATCCAAATGGACAACAGGCACATGAAAAAATGTTCAAGATCACTAGCAATCAGGGAAATGCAAATCAAAACCACAATGAGGTTCCACCTCACCCCAGTTAGAATGGCTCACATTAAGAAATCTACCAACAGCAGATGCTGGAGAGGATGTGGGGAAAAAGGGACACTAACCCACTGTTGGTGGGAATGCAAACTGGTCAAGCCACTATGGAAGTCAGTCTGGAGATTCCTCAGAAACCTGAATATAACCCTACCATTCAACCCAGCCATCCCACTCCTTGGAATTTACCCAAAGGAATTTAAATTGGCAAACAAGCTGTCTGCACCTTAATGTTTATTGCAGCTCAATTCACAATAGCTAAGACCTGGAACCAACCCAAATGCCCATCAACAGTAGACTGGATAAAGAAATTATAGGACATGTACTCTATAGAATACTATACAGTAGTCAAAAACAATGAAACCTGGTCATTTGCAACAAGATGGAGGAATTTGGAAAACATCATGCTGAGTGAATTAAGCCAGTCCCAAAGGGACAAATATCATATGTTCTTCCTGATTGGGGACAACTAACTGAGCACCAAAGGGGAAACTTGTTGAAATGAAATGGACACTATGAGAAACAGTGACTTGATCAGCTCTTGTCCTGACGGTTGATATACAATGTAATACTTTATCCATTTTAGTATTTTTTTTGTTCTAGTACTATTGATTGAACTCTGTAATTAACACACAATGATCAGAAAGATCATTCACCCAGATCAATTGGGATTTATCCCTGGTATGCAGGAGTGGTTCAATATTCACAAATGAATAAGTGTGATATATATCACATTAACAACCTGAAAAACAAAGGGCATACGGTGATCTCAATAGATGCACAGATAGCATTTGATAAAATACAACACCGTTTCATGATGGAAACCTTAAGCAAATTATATGTATGCACTCCTGAACAGAATCGAGGCAATATATGACAAATCCGCAGCCAGCATCTTATTGGATGGGGAAAAGTTGGAAGCATTCCAACTAAGATCTGGAAACAGATAAGGATGCCCATTCTCACCACTGCTATTCAATAAAGTTTCAACCAGAGCCATTAGCCAAGACAAAGAAATCACAGGGATGCCAATTGGGAAGGAGGAAGTCAAACTATCCCTACATGCAGATGACATGATTCTATAAACAGGGGTACCAAAGACTCACTAAGAGACTATTGGAACTCATAAAAGAGTTTGTAAAGTGGCAGGATACTAAATTAACACACAAAAATGAATAGCCTTTCTATATGAAGACAATGTCATGGCTGAGACAGAACTTCTAAGATCATTCCATTTACAATAGATAGGAGAAAAGTTAAATCCCTTGGAATAAATTTAAACAAGGAGGTCAAAGACTTTTATGATAGAAATTATAAAACCTTCAAGAAGGAAATGAAAGAGGAGATAAAAAAATGGGAAAACCTCCATTTTTATGGATTGGAAGAATCAATTCATCAAAATGTCCATACTACCAAAAGCAATTTACAGATTCAATGCAATACCAATCAAAATACCAAGGACATTCTTTTCAGAACTAGAAAAAATGATGCTAACATTCATATTTGAAACAAAAGAGACCCTGAATAGCTAAAGCATCACAATGCTAGATTTCAAGACATGCCAGAGGGAAGTTATTATCAAAACTACCTGGAACTGGAAAAAAATAGATGTGTATACCAATGGAACAGAATAGAAACTCAAGACATCATCCATGCATCTACAACCAACATCTTTGATGAAGGAACTAAAAAAATCGCTGGAGCAAGGACAGTCTCTTGAACAATGGTCCTGGGGAAATTGGGTTTTCACATGCAGAATTATGAAACTAGAGCCCTTACACAAAAACTAGACACTTACACAAAAATCCACTCAAAATAGATCAAACACCTAAATCTATGACCTGATACCATCAAATTACTAGAGACCACTGGAGAAACTCTGCGTGACATTGGCATAGGCAAAGACTTCTTGGAAAAGACACAAGAAGCACAGGGAATCACAGCAAAAATAGACTAATTCTCCCCTGCAAAAGAAACACTCAGTGACATGAAGGGGCAACTGACAGAATGGGAGACATTCTTTGCAAACTATGCAACAGATAAAAGATTAATATCCAGAATTTTAAAGAACTCAAGAAACCTAATAACAACATAATAAACAATCCAGCTAAGAAATGGGCAGAGGACTTAGACTGGCTTTTTTCTTTTTTTTTTTTTTCAAGATTTATTTATTTATTTGACAGGTAGTTACGGACAGTGAGAGGGAGAGACACAGAGAAAGGTCTCCCATCCTTTGGTTCACTCGCCAAATGGCCAAAATGGCCAGAGCTGTACCAATCCAAAGCCAGAGCCAGGAGCTTCTTCCAGGTCTCCCATGTGGGTGCAGGGGCCCAAGGACTTGGGCCATCTTCTACTGCTTTCCTGGGCCACAGCAGAGCACTTGATTGGAAGAGGAGCAGCTGAGACTATAACCAGAACCCATTTGGGATGCTGGCGCTGCAAGCAGAGAGTTAACCTACTGTGCCACGGCACTGGGCCCTAGACTGGAATTTTTTAAAGAGGAAATTCAAATGGCCAACAGACACTTGAAAAAATGCTCAGGATCACTAGCCATCAGGGAAATGCAAATAAAAACCACAATGAGGTTCCATCTCACCCCAGTTAGAATAGCTTTCATACAGAAATCAACAAAAAACAAATGCTGGTGAGGATGTGGACAAAAGGCATCCTTGTCTACTGTTGGTGGAAATATATACTGGTATAGCTACTGTGGAAAACAGTATAAAGATACCTCAGAAATCTGAATATAGACCTACCGTATGATCTAGCCATTCCACTCTTGGGAATTTAAACAAACCAAAAGAAATCAGCATATGAAAGAATTATCTGTACCCTCATGTTCATTGCAGCTCAATTCACAACAGCTAAGAGATGGAATCAACCCAGTTGTCCATCATCACAAGACTATAAGGAAATTATTAAAATATAACAGTGGATAAAAAATACCAAAATCCTGTTATTTACAACAAAACAGATAGAACTAGAAACCATTATACTTAGTGAAATGAGGGTGTCCCAAAAAGACAAATACCACGTTCTATCTGATCTATGTTAACTAAGAGATCCCCTAAAAGGTAATCTATAGGTGTGGAACTGACACTTTGAGAGGCAGTGATTTTGAGCAGCCCTTGTCTCAACTGTTGATTAACAGTGGTTTTTTTTCTTAGACTATTTGTTGGGCTCTTTACAGAGTATAGAGTGAATCTTATGAGTATACTGTTAACTGAAAATAGATCTTCATAAAAAGTAAGAATGGGAATAGGAGAGGGAAGAGAAAAAGGGTGGGAGTGTGGGCAGGAAGGAAGCTAGGGTGGGAAGTATCACTATGTTTTTGAATCTGTACATAGCAAATATATGAAAGTTGAAGAGCTTAAATAAAATTTTGCAAAAGTCTAAATACAATTGGGAGTGAGATGAGCACTTAAGTGATAAGCAAAAATCAGAAGCCACTGGGAACATCTGGTGCATTTGGACCCAGAATGGCTGCCCCTGGCTGTGATGGCACTGGAGAGATTCTGCTGGAAGAGGAGAAAGCCGGGTCACTTCTTTGGACTAGATGACTATGGATCCACCATGAAGTATGGTGGAATAGAAATAAATACACGAGGCAGACAAAATCTGCCTTTCTGAATGCTCTCCTGCAGGACAATTTGGCTGAGAGCATGATGGTTTGCTAGGTTGTCTGATATGGTGGAGAGGGAGATTAGTCATAGTCTGTGGTGCTCGTAGACCACCACCAAAAGCACTATACATCTCAGAGTGCTCAAGACCACACAGGAGGACAGATCAGCCTGTGTCTTCAGCCTCACAGAATGCTGGTCCCAAAGGCAGGCATTTGGCAGAGTGGTTGGGATTCCCCTTGGAATGCCCACATCCCATAATGAAGAACCTGAGTTTGACTCTTGGTTCCTCCATCAGTTCCATCTTCCCATTAAAGTGCTCATAGAGAGGCAGCAGATCTTGGCCCAAGCAATTGCATTCCTGCCTCCTGTGTGGGAGACTCGGGTTGAGTTCTTAGCTCCTGGCTTTTGCCTGGCCAAGTTCTATGGGTTTTTGGGGAGTGACCTGGTGAATAGAAGAACTCTTTGTCTCCCTTTGTCCCTCTACATTTATATAAAAGTGATAATTTTTAAAATCTCCTGATACTAATGCAGTAAAAATTGTGCTTGTGTCAATTACTCCCAGAGTCATCCACATTAGTAGGCCCAGGGCTGTCTGTCTGCCTAATAGTCTGAAGGAGAGAGCCTCAGCTCTTATTGCTTACTGGGAATGATGGGGCAATGGGACCTCACTCCCCAGTCATGTCCCACAGCAAGAGAGCTCAGCCCAGTGTGTACTATGGGATACAGATGACCCATGAGGCACTGTTGGAAGCATTTTTTCCTCCTATACCAGACCAGTAGGATGGTTGGAATAACTAGACTGACCAGCCCCAAAATGAAAAGTGTCTACCTGAAGTTTATAGTCTTGTTTCATGGAGGGAAATTTGAGAAATCTAAGTCAGAAATCTGCTTTGCCTTCACACTATGACTATCTACTATATGACAATACACAAACTAGAGATGCTTTTGTACATATGTAGGATCTTTCATAAGTTCATGAAAATACACATTATTGTCACTCCCTTGCCCACAAAGGAATGACACTTCTCCCAGCTGATCAGTCTTCAGTAGACTTTTATTAAAACAGGATAGAAAGAGAAACCCTTGAGCAAGGGGAGCTCCGAAAGAAAGGGGAAGCTCCTGTACCATATCACAAACAACTTATATAGTATAACATTGATGAAGCATGTAAGCAAGCTTAGTCCATGCAACAGTCCATGCAGTGGCGCTCCAATCGGGTGCCTGATCACTCACAGTCCATGCGCTCCTTGTCCAACCATAAAGGTGATCACGTGCCTTCATCCAATCAAGCTCCTGGTCATGTAGCAGGCGACTCGGGTGTTAACAACAAGCTTCCACCTGGTGTTTTCTCAGCCTTGGTCAGTGGGAAAAGAGGTATGGCCATAGTTGTTTTTGACTCTAGCCTGGGGTTATGAAACGGTCCTGATATCACAGCTCAACAGAAAGCATAAACATCCACACAGCAGTAACTAATGCCAATGATCAATAAGCTAAGCCTTAGCATGTGGGCCCATGGCTAGCTCATGGGTCCCCACAATTATCAACTTATCAGTTAATTTGATTTTTCTGCAATTTTTTTAAAGTATGCTTTTTCACCTACTGCTTCTGAAGTATTGAAGTATAAGGACAAAGAAATATGTAACTATCAATAGTTTTGTAATCTATAATTCAGTAAGAATCTCAACCTGGAGATGAAGACTCATTCAAATTAGTAAAAAACACGTGAGTTCCCAAGACATAGAATACAAACCCTAGCAAAGGCTTAGGAAATGAAATAGGAAGTTCTATTTAGAGACTAATGCTAACCAAGAAAGTGAAAAGAGTATCTGATTATTGGTATACAACATACAATTCTCCTGAAGTTTCATGATGAATAAAATGGATTGGCAGACATAAAAAAATCACATACTCAGCTGTGGAATTAAAAACAGAAGTCTGAGTTTTATGTAAAGATTTTGCAACTTGGATGTCAGCACCAAAGGGCACAGGTGACCTTCCTTGTGGACAGGTTCCAGGTATACTTATTTTCTCCTATTCCTCTTCCATGAATATCAGCAAGTCCTTAGGGACTAGGGTGTGGGGAGCAACTGGGAGCAACTCGGACTAGACTGTTACTGGAATTAAGACTTATTCTATGCATCTGCTCTCCCACAATATGGCGCTGGGAGAGGAGAAAACAGCTTCTACGCAGCTGCCTCTTGCCAACTTGAGTGATAACCTCCAGGAGCTGATCCTGCTCCTGATTGGAGGAGAGCAGCGTACTCAGTGTGTGGGCAGCTGAGTTGGGATTGGCGGAAGAGGACTATAAAGGAGGAGAGAGACAACATGCACCAGGAACATCTAAGGGGAACATCTGAGGGAACACCTGTGCAGCCCCCGAGAGAGCCGGCCGGCGGTGTGCCGCTCCCCCGCGGAAGTGGGGAATGTGGCAGGGGGAACCACCTTTCCACGAAGGTGGAAGGGTTGGTAGCCAACCCGGGAAGAACCAGAAGCAAACCCGGGGAGGGCCGAGCAGACAAAAGAACAGCGCAGGGTCCTGTGTCGTTCCTCCACGAAGAGGGGGAGCGACACTAGGGTAACATGGACTGGCTGGCTAATTGGGAGCTCTGTGCATTGTGCACCCAAGGTCCTAACAATGAGCTGGCACATTCATACCTTGGCCTTCCTGGTGGAAATATAGTGGCTGCACTCCCATTGTCAGCATCTGCACCAGGAGCCTCCAGTCTAAGTCTGTCTCCAGTCCTGAGTGCAGAGCCTGAGGCTTCCCTCCATTGCACTCCAGGCAGGTGAGGAGCAGCGGAGCCATCACCCTTGGTCATGCTTCAGATGAGACTCAGCGCAGCCCAGTAAGTGCTGAGGGATAGCAGGGAAGGAGGTTGGACTCTTAGGAACATTGTTTTCTCCTCATCAGAAGAAAAGTGAGAGTTGGGGTAGACTTGAGGGAGGGAACCAATAAGCAAAGCTTCAGGCCAGAGGATGTGAAGTCTATGTTCTTGATTCTCATAGGAGTCCCAGATATCTCATTCAGAGTTTGGCTTTCCTCCTGTATTAAGTCTTACTCCTTTGGAATCCTCTTCATGACAGCAGCAAATGCATCTCTAAACTGTCTCCTGAACACACAGAAACATGACCATAAAAGTGATGATGAGGATGCCAGAGAGTATAACATTGTGCGCGATTACTGAGGGCTCCCTAAGTGCCAGGTATGAACTCTGTTGCAAGCAGGCTGTTTCATTACATCTGCACAATCTCCCAAGTTTTGTTGCATGGTGGAGCTCGGCAATTTTTGGGACTTTTATCTGGCTATCAGGTACAATGAATTGAGGCCACATCTTTTTTTTTTAACTTTTATTTAATGAATATAGATTTCCAAAATACAGCTTATGGATTACATTGCCTTCCCCCCCCCCCCCGATGACATCCCTCCCACCCGCAACCCTCCCCTTTCCCACTCTCTCTCCCCTTCCATTCATATCACGATTCATTTTCAATTTTCTATATATACAGAAGATCAGTTTAGTATACATTAAGTAAAGATTTCAACAGTTTGTACCCACATAGAAACACAAAGTGAAAAATACTGTTTGAGTACTCGTTATAGCATTAAACCTCAATTAAGGACAGAGATCCTACATGAGGAGTAAGTGCACAGTGACTCCTATTGTTGACTTTACAAATTGACACTCCTGTTTATGGCATCAGTAATCTCCCTATGCTCTAGTCATGAGTTTCCAAGGCTATGGAAGCCTTTGAGTTCTCCGACTCTTTTTTTTTTCCACAGGCAGAGTGGACAGTGAGAGAGAGAGAGACAGAGAGAAAGGTCTTCCTGTGCCATTGGTTCACCCTCCAATAGCCGCCACGGCTGGTGTGCTGCGGCCGGTGCACCACGCTGATCTGATGGCAGGAGCCAGGTGACAACGTCATAGTCAAAGTGGAAGTTTTCTCCTCCTTTCAGAGAAAGGTACCTCCTTCTTTGAAGACCTGTTCTTTCCACTGGGATCTCACTCACAGAGCTCTTTCATTTAGGTCCTTTTTTTTTGGCAGAGTGTCTTGGCTTTCCATGCCTGAAATACTCTCATGGGCTTTTCAGCCGAATCCGAATGTGAGGCCTCATATTTAAAAAAAAGAATTATTTTATTTTAAAGTTACAGAGAGGGAGAGGCAGAGAGTGAGAAAGTTATTCCATCCACTGATTCACTCCTGAGATGGCCATAACAGTTGAGGCTGTGCCAGGCTGAAGCCAGGAACTCCATCCAGGTTTCCCTTGTGGGTGCAAGGGCCCAAAGACTTGGATCATCTTATGTTGATTTCCCAGGTGCATTACCATGGCAATGGATTGGAAGTAAAGTAGCCAGAACTTGAACTGTTGCCCATATGGGATGCCAGGGCTGCAGGCTGTAGCTTTAGTCAATACACCACAGCACCGGCCCCTGAAACCACACCTGAATCAGACACAGGGCACATGGCCACTCTACCCCTCTGTTGACCCCAGCAGCCGTTTCACTTTCTGTCCACTGTGCTCTTTCCATAGCCTTCTCTGTCGATTGTGGGAAGTCATGGGTGAAGTGTGGCTGAGCTCAAAGGCTAAGACCACAGGAGCCCAGGCCCACAATAACTCAGAGGAGATGGCTCTCCTGACCCCACCCCTGGATTTCTCTTCTGCCAACTTCCTCACCACTCTTGTAATCACTCCTGTCTTCTCAATGAGAGACATAAAAATGGGGTGTTGGTTTCCATTTCTGACTGCAGAACTGGAAAAAGATTACCAACAGTCCTCAGAGTTTCCTGTAGTTTAGAACACTGGAGTTATGCTTAATTCTTTCTAAGCAGGGAGACATAATGAGGAAGTTGAATACATCAGTTTCAGATGCTGACAATGTAGTGTTGAATCCTATCTGCTCCACGGAAAGTTGTTGGCATCTCTGAGAGTCAGCATTGTCATTTGAGTTGGCACCTCATCCAGAGAGCTGACAAAGCTCTTGTCCTCCAATGAGAGGACTTCAGAATGTTCATAGAAAAAATGGAATGAAAAGTATGAATTACTGCTTTTGAAATCCACACATAGATTTTTTTCATAATACATTATTTTCCATACATTATAATTTTTTACAAATGCTTTTTTTTGTAAAATATACACTTTTTTGTCTAAAAAGACTTCAAAGCTTCAATATGGCCGTGAACATGTATTTTTGAGAAGAATGATGCACTCCCTTTCATTTCTGATTTCCCTGACCCTGTGCCTGGCTTAGCAGAGTGGAGGCATCAGCAATGAAGATCTCTGTTACACGTTCAGTAGACCCTTCCATGGCTCACAATAACTGGCTGTCAGCAGTGTGGGTTTAACACACTGGTGCTTTCTTGAAGACCCCTTTCAGGAAAGTCCCACAGAACTAGAGACCATGGAATAGCACATGTTTGCATCTCTGTGAAGGACACATGAATCCTGTAATGACACTTAATGGAATCTACAGCAAAATCTTTGTTTCTGAGTATTCAAAAATCAAGGAAGAGCTGTGTTTCACATCTAGCACAAATGCACAGAGAGAAGGGGTCAGGCAATCCTTGTGCCCGAGCTGAGGCACATTCTAGAGTACCCTTTGCCAGCATCATTTATCAACACTTTGCTATTTATTGAATTACAGAGTCTATATTTTGAAAAATCACGATGACCACATGCTGAAGCTCTCATTCCCCTAGATGATACCCTGTCACAGATATGGGTGTTATTCTTCCTATGTCCAGTGGACAATATCATCATGGGGAGGTGGAGAGATTTACATACATGTTGGCATGTATTGTAGGTGAATGATGCCGATTTCCTTACTCCCTCTATACGGCAAGCAGAAATAACATTACATCAAGTAGAAATAATATTCCCACACAGCTTGAAATTTCTTGTTATTAGGAAAGGATTACTACTAGATATTACCCAGAGATGATACATCAAATATATAGTTGATATATAGATGGTATATCAAATATATAGTTAGTATATATTTGGTATATCAAATATATATTTGATTGTTTTTATTGGGATAGCATACAGGTGTTGGACAAAACTACATGTGCATCAAATTCTGCTATTCAACCAGAAATCCTGACTTGTGTGATATGAAGAGAGGGACAAAGATTTCAAAAGCTTGTCATAACAATGCATGTAAAAATTAGATGATGTCCCCCCTCCCAGGTAAAGATGTGAAGCAGATGAAATGTTTGAAGTGAATGTACATCCCAGAGGGGCTGAAAACCCAACTTTAGTGAACCCTAGCATGTGTCAGGGGCAGTAGGTGTGTATACTAGATGCCTTCACGTAGTTTTCAGGTGAGTTTTAAAGAAATCTACTTGGAGATGCACAAACTAATGCTCACATGAAGGAGCATGCATTGTGGTGCAGTTGGTTGAGCCTCGGCTTGGGAAATTTGCATTCCATAGAGGAGTACCTGGTTCGAGTCCCAGTTGCTCTGCTTCTGACCAAGCTTTCCACTAATATGCATGACAGACAGCAGGTGATGGCCCAGTTACTCAGGTTTCTGACATCAAATAGGAGATCTGTATGGAATTCTGGGCTCCAGCCTCAGCCTGAGCTCTTGTGGGCATTTGAGGAGTGAACCAGTAGTTGGAAGATACCTCTGTTTCAAATATGAAAAAAAATGAATAAAGAAAGATAAAGAGAATTAAGAAAATTTCCTTGCAACAGTCTTACTGGGCAAACATCCATTTCATGGATGAGGAATCTGCAAAAGTATGCTTGCATTATTTTCTGGATTTTTTTTTTTTGCATTTTTGCATTTTTCTTGAATTTTTTCTGGAATTAATTTCTGGCATTTTTTCTCAGGTCAATCACAGCCTCTCCTGCTAAAATAATGAACTACAGTTGTCTTAGGGCAGATAAAGGTAGAGAATTACAACCCATGAATAAGGAAAGGTTTATACTACAATATTTTCCTTAGGCATAGGAAGATTGGAACTCAAAGTTGACTTTGTGCGCTCCCTGATACCAAACACTTCAACTGCAAATAAGAGGGTTTATGATCATAAAAACTGTAAAGCAGCATTACCAGATTGCTATGAAAAAAGGAAAATTTTGGAGATATTAAAATAAGATACACCTCTCAAACACAAGATAATTTACTGAGATCTTGAGGCAAATACAAAAATTACCTGTTTAAGCTTTTGAAAATTCAGACATTTCTTTTAAAAATTTTTATTTCTGATCCCTGACAGGTGAAGCAAACACTAAAGTTACATTTGTGGTCATTGCTTTTGTATGATTATGTGCACTTAATTAAACCACATTTATCGAAATCTGACCCCCACCAATGACCAGGATAGAAGTTATGGATCACACAGCAGACAGACACACAATAATGGGCACACAACATGGTTAAGATCCCCCCTCCTACTTAGGAGTGTCTGAATTTGATTTCAGGCTGTCATTGATTACTCAACTTCCTCCCAGACTGTGGGAGGCAGTGGTGATGACTCAAGTACTTGGGTGACTGCTACCAATGTAAGAGACCTAGATCAAGTTCCAACTCCCAGGGTTTCGAGTGGGAGGGAAGTTATGGGGGGGAAGCCACTGTATTCCAAAATCTGTGCTTTGCAAATTTATAATTATTAAATAAAAGTTAAAAAAATTCCAACTCCCAGCTTCTGCAGTAGTCCATCCAAGACACTGTAGGCATTTGGGAGCGAATCAATGCTATCTCTCTCTCTCTCTCTCTCTCTCTCTCTCTCTCTCTCTCTTCCACCTTCCCTCCCTCCCTCCCTGTGTGTCTTCCTATTAAACAAAAAGGAGATACAGAAGGGAAAATTAGAAAACCTGACAATGATGAAACCATTGAGTGATAATTAAGACACAACAGTATTTTCCTATCATGAACAATCAACATTAAGTTAGCGTTGATATAATACAGTCCTAGCATTTAGAGCACACTTAAGTCAATGGAATTTCTACCATTGCTAAAATAAGGTATATTTAACTGCTTCTTAATTACCCTTATTTAGAGTATTACCTTTGAAGGCAAAAGGGCATTTATTATTTTTTATTACATGTCTAGGTTGCATTTGACTGTGTTCATGGGCTTGGTAGGTCTAGCATTCTGGGTTTCCTAACATTTTTCAGTTGCTCCAACAACAGTTATTTTAATTTTATTTATTCTATGGACCTTAGAGCTGCCCTTATGTTATACCCATGACTAGCTGAATTAAAACTATAGACCAAAAAACTATAAGCAAGCACTGTGTGCCCATGTCTCCTTTTTCCATCCCTATCTCTTTCCAGAAGGAGCGCAGGCTCTGTTGCAACACAAAATCTGACGTGTGTCCTAGAATTCCATCTCGTGGGCTTCTCAGAGGATCCAGCCCTGCAGTCCCTCCTGTTTGGGCTGTTCCTGTCCATGTACCTGGTCACGGTGCTCGGGAACCTGCTCATCATCCTGCTCATCATCTCTAACACCCACCTGCACACCCCCATGTACTTCTTCCTCTGCAACCTGTCCTTGGCTGACGTGGGTTTCACCTCCACCACAGTTCCCAAGATGATTGTGGACATCCACACTCACATCACAGTCATCTCCTATGTGGGCTGCCTGACACAGATGTCTCTCTTTCTCATCTGTGGATGCATGGATGATTTGCTTCTGACTGTAATGGCCTATGACCAGTTTGTCGCCATCTGTCATCCACTGCATTACCAGGTCATCACGAACCCCCGCCGCTGTGCCTTCTTGGTTTCAGTGTCTTTTGTGGCCAGCCTTTTCGATTCTCTGCTGCACAACTTGATATTATTACCAGTTACCTGCTTCAAGGCAGTTGAAATTTCTAATTTCTTTTGTGACCCTTCTCAGCTTCTCAATCTTACATGTGATGACACCTTCAACCGTGACATAGTCATGTATCTTATTGGTATCGTATTTGGGTTTTTCCCTATCTCAAGGGTCCTCTTCTCTTACTATAAAATTGTGTCCTCCATTCTGAGAGTCCCATCCCCAGATGGGAAGTACAAAGCCTTCTCCACCTGTGGCTCACACATGTTGGTCGTTTGCTTATTTTATGGATCAAGTTTAGGCGTGTATCTCAGTGCATCCTTCTCCACCTCTTCCAGAGAGAGTGCTGTGGCCTCACTGATGTACACCCTGGTCACCCCTATGTTGAACCCCTTCATCTACAGCCTGAGGAACAGGGACATCAAGAGAGCTCTGCAGAGAACTCTCAACAGAATAAGCTAATCTCACTGCCCTTGCTATCCTTGTGCTCCTAGAACTGAAATGGGCAGCTTCAAGATGTCTAGAATCAGTCATCAGGTCACAGCATGTGAAGGCATCTATCATCATCTCCATGTCTTTTGGGCTTCTCTTTCCACAACCGTTCCTGTCAACATATGGGAAGCTAACGCTGTAGGCTGGGGCTTTAACTTGCTGTGTCACTGTGCAGGCCCCAGATTGGAGCTCTTAAAAAAAGCACTACTCTACTTTCCACCTTTCTTTAATAAAAGGTCACTCATGGTCACTAACCTTAACTACATATGAAGTGTGGTGCATTTCACTCATCTCTTCTCTCCCCACTCAGGCCTCAGTGTTTGAGAGAGTCCCTTTAGTTACCATTTCTGTTCACATGTTTTTCCCTCTTTACCTCTGTCCTGCAGTAGCTTTTGGACCCATTGCCCATATTCTATTCTCTCCATTATGATAACTGTATTTGTTTCTGTTTCTTGACTGATGAATACATCATGACATGGGGCAAAAGGTAGAAGATGAGCTGTGATGGGAGTATTTAAAAATGTGCACAAGGGGGCGGCACTGTTGCATGTTAGGTTAAGCCTCTGCCAGCAGTACTGGCATCATATAGGGTGCTGATTCAAGTCCTGGCTGCTCCCCTTCTGATGCAGCTTCCTGCTAATGGCCTGGGAAATCAGCGGTGGATGGCCTAAATGCTCGGGCCCATGCACCCATGTTGGAGACCCAGAAGAAGTGCTTAGCTCCTGGCTTTGGATTAGCCCATCTTCATCTGTTGCAGCCATTTGGGGAGTGAATCAGTGGATGGAAGACCTGTCGCTCCTTCTCTTTCTGTAACTCTGCCTTTTGAATAAAATAATTTTTTCATGTGTTCAAGAAATCAAGCCAGTTTTCAATATCAGTCTTCTCATAAACACAAAAGAGGCAGAATTTAGGGTCTTCTCATTTCTGTTGATGACACTCATCTTTTGAGGTGGGTGTTAGTGCCATTTGGGATGCCTGTACTGCAGGGCCTGGTTTTGAATCCTAGCTCCACTCTGATTCTGAATTCCTACTAATGTGCATCCTTGGAGGCAGCAGGTGATGGCTCAAGCAGTTGGGTCCCTGCCACACATGTGGGAGATGTGGACTGAGTTCTTAGCTTCTGGCTTTGGCCTGGCCCAGCCTTGGCTGCTGTGGGCATTTAGGGAGTGAACCAGTGGATGGACAACATTGCTCTCTCAATCTCTCAGTCTTTTCCTTTCAAATAAAATAAATTTTTACAACTAAAAAAAAGGAACATTCTTCATGTGAGGGAAAAACTGCAAATGTCCTATTGTATTGTGCAAACATAACTCTCCAGACATAGTATGTCTGGCAGGTGAGAACCTTATTTTTTTTAAAGAAGGTTTGCTTATTTGAAAGGAAGAGAGAGAGAGAGAAAGAGAGAAAGAGAGAGAAAGAGAGAGAGAAAGAGAGAGAGAGAGAGAGAGAGAGAGAGTGAGAGAAAGAGTGAGAGAGAGAGATCTTGTCTGTTGGTTCACTGCCCAAAAGGCTGCAATGGCTGGGCTATGTCAGTCCAGAGCCAGTAGCCTGGAAGTCCATCCTGGTCTCCCATGTGAGTGTCACGGGCCCAGGCATTCAGGCCATCTTCCACTGCTTTCCCAGGTGCACGGGCAAGGAGCTGGATCAGAAGTGGAGCAGCCTGGACTTGATTGGTGCTGAGATGAAATACCAGGTGGCAGGCAGCAGTTTAACCTGCTGCACCACAATGCCATCCCTGCCCAAACACTGAACGAGGCAATAGCGTGTGCCTCCCACTCTTCAGGTTTCCAGTCCATCCAGCGGGAATGGTTCCTGTGCTTTCCATCACCGGAGGTGCCATGAATGTTAGCTGGCCAATCACCGGAGCCACCACAGGTGTTAGCTGGCCCATTCCCATGCCTGTCTTCTTGCCAGTCCTCAGGACAGAGCCTCAGCCCCCATGGGTCCCTGCACACAGGAGGGAGAACAGATTTGTGCTCCTTGGCCGTGCCCCTGAGCAAGGCAGCACAGCCTGCAGGGTGCTTTGGGAGATGCTGGGTGTGGAGGATTGTCAGGAACATATTTCCCCAGCATCAGTTCACGTCAGATGGGTGGGAAAGCAAGACTAGCTGCCCCAACATGCCAGCTTTCAGCTCAGAGGTCTGTAATGTTTATGCTTTTCAGTCTTGCTGGGAATTTGAGAATCCAACTGGTACCAAATGCCTGCTCCATGACACCATCCTGAGAAAGGAGCCACACTTGGAATCTGTACTGCTGTAGGAGATAGAAACCCCTGTATATCCTCATCCCTGGGGATCCACAGTCACTCCACTGTTCAGGCAAGAGGACCACAGCCTCATAAACCTAGCTAGACCCAGCAGCAACAGCGACCAACATTTTAGCCTAAGCGGTGTCTTGCACTACACTGGTCAGGTGGTTCTGCACAGCAAAGTGGGTCCTATTCCCAAAACCTTAAGAAGGAGTTATCACCTCTGCGGAATGAGGACCATCTCCCCTACTTCCTCAACTTTGACCCCACCAGGGCAGTGCAAGCTCTGGCTTTGGTGGGTGTGCAGAGTCATGCATGTTCATCCCATACTCCTGCCCAGCCCTACTGTGGATCCTTCTGAGCCTGCCCTGGCTTTGAGGGGACTTCAACACCCCACTTTTGTCAGCGTACAGATCACTGGAAAAAAAAGCATCAGAATTAAACTATACTATAGACCAAATGAGTCTTACAAAAATAGAACATTACATCCAACTGCAGCAGGATACACCCTCTTTCCACCAGCACATAGAATAGTCTTTAGGGTAGACCACTGATTAGGCCACAAAACAAATCCTAGCAAATTTAAAAAATCAAAATCCTATCACATTATCCTCTCTGACCACAATGGAGTAAAATTAGAAATGATCAGCCAAAGAGAAAACAACTCTAGAAATTATCCAAATACATGGAAATGGAACAACTTGCTTCTGAATGAAAAAACGGATCCTTGAAAAATAAGGAAAATTTAAAAATTCCTTGAAACTTATGAAAATAGAAACACAACAACTCGAAACTTCTTTTTTTTTTTAATCTTTTATTTAATGAATATAAATTTCCAAAGTACGACTCATGGGTTACAATGGCTTTCCCCCACCTACCGTCCCTCCCACCCACAACCCTCCCCTTTCCCACTCCCTCTCCCCTTCCATTCACATCAAGATTCATTTTCGATTATCTTAATATACAGAAGATCAGCTTAGTATACCTTAAGTAAGGATTTCAACAGCTTGTTCCCACACAGAAACATAAAGTGAAAAATAATAGATGATTTTTTTTTAAATCATGATGAAATCAGATCAGACCTATTGTCATGTTTAATCCCAGTGAGAGTCAAGTTGGGAATTGATAATTTCTTTTCTTTCTTTTTTTTTTTTTTTTTTTACAGAAGATCAGTTTAGTGTACATTAAGTAAAGATTTCAATCGTTAGCACCCCCATAGAAACACAAAGTGAAATATACTGTTTGAGTACTCGTTATAGCATTAAGCCTCAGTGTACAGCACATTAAGGACAGAGATCCTACATGAGGAGTAAGTGCACAGTGACTCCTGTTGTTGACTTTACAAATTGACACTCCTGTTTATGGCATCAATAATCTCCCTATGCACCAGTCATGAGTTTCCAAGGCTATGGAAGCCCCTTGAGTTCTCCGACTCTTATCTTGTTTAGACAAGGTCATAATCAAAGTGGAAGTTCTCTCCTCCCTTCAGAGAAAGGCACCTCCCTCTTTGAAGACCTGTTCTTTCCACTGGGATCTCACTCACAGAGATCTTTTGCCAGAGTGTCTTGGCTTTCCATGCCTGAAATACTCTCATGGGCTTTTCAGCCAGATCCGAATGCCTTTAGGGCTGATTCTGAGGCCAGAGTGCTATTTAGGACATCCGCCATTCTATGAGTCTGCTGAGTATCTCACTTCCCATGTTGGATCACTCTCCCCTTTATTTATTCTATCGGTTAGTGTTAGCAGATACTAGACTTGTTTATGTGCTCCCTTTGACTCTTAGTCCTTTCATTATGATCCATTGTGAACTGAAATTGATCACTTGGAATAGTGAGATGGCATTGGCACATGCCACCTTGATGGGATTGAATTGGAATCCCCTGGTGTGTTTCCAACTCTACCAATTGGGGCAAGTCAGCCTGAGCATGTCCCAAATTATACATCTCTTCCCTCTCCCATTCCCACCACCATGTTCAACAGGGATCACATTTCAGTTAATTTTCAACACTTAAGAATAACTGTGTGATAATTACAGAATTAAACCAGTCATATTAAGTAGAACAGACAAAAAAAAATAATATGAGGGATAATATATTAAGTTGTCCATTAGCAGTCAGGGCTATGCTGATCAAGTCACCATTTCCCATAGTGTCCATTTCACTTCAGGAGGTTTCCTTTTTGGTGTTCAGTCAGTTGTCACCGATCAGGGAGAACATATGGTATTTGTCCCTTTGGGACTGGCTTATTTCACTCAGCATGATGTGTTCCAGATTCCTCCATTTTGTTGCAAATGACTGGATTTCGTTGTTTCTTACTGCGGTATAGTATTCTAAAGAGTACATATCCCGTAATTTCTTTATCCAGTCTATCGTTGATGGGCATTTAGGTTGGTTCCAGGTCTTGGCTATTGTGAATTGTGCTGCAATAAACATTAGGGTGCAGACCGCTTTTTTGTTTATCAATTTAAACTCCTTTGGGTAAATTCCAAGGAGTGGGATGGCTGGGTCGAACGGTAGGGTTATATTCAGGTTTCTGAGGAATCTCCAGACTGACGTCCATAGTGGCTTGACCAGTTTGCATTCCCACCAACAGTGGGTTAGTGTCCTTTTCCCCCACATCCTCGCCAGCATCTGTTGTTGGTAGATTTCTGTATGTGAGCCATTCTAACCGGGCTGAGGTGAAACCTCATTGTGCTTTTGATTTGCATTTCCCTGATTGCTAGTGACCTTGAACATTTTTTCATGTGCCTGTTGGCCATTTGGATTTCCTCTTTTGAAAAATGTCTATTGAAGTCCTTGGCCCATCTCTTAAGTGGGTTGTTGGTTTTGTTTTTGTGGAGTTTCTTGATCTCTTTGTAGATTCTGGTTATTAACCCTTTATCTGTTGCATAGTTTGCAAATATTTTTTCCCATTCTGTTGGTTGTCTCTTCACTCTCCTGACTGTTTCGTTGGAGTACAGAAACTTCTCAATTTGATGCAATCCCAATAGTTGATTTTGGCTTTGACTGTCTGTGCCTCCCGGGTCTTTTCCAGAAATTCTTTGCCTGTGCCAATATCTTGAAGGGTTTCTCCAATGTTCTCTAATAACTTGATGGTGTCAGGTCATACATTTAAGTCTTTAATCCATGTTGAGTGGATTTTTGTGTAAGGTGTAAGGTAGGGGTCTTGCTTCATGCTTCTGCACGTGGAAATCCAGTTTTCCCAGCACCATTTATTGAATAGACTGTCCTTGCTCCAGGAATTAGTTTTAGATCCTTGATCAAATATAAGTTGGCTGTAGATGTTTGGATTAATTTCTGGTGTTTCAATTCTGTTCCATTGGTCTATCCATCTGTTTCTGTACCAGTACCATGCTGTTTTGATTACAACTGCCCTGTAGTATGTCCTGAAGTCTGGTATTGTGATGCCTCTGGCTTTGTTTTTGTTGTACAAGATTGCTTTAGCTATTCGAGGTCTCTTGTGCCTCCATATGAATTTCAGCATCATTTTTTCTAGATCTGAGAAGAATGTCTTTGGTATCTTGATTGGGATTGCATTGAATCTATAAATTGCTTTTGGGAGAATGGACATTCTGATGATGTTGATTCTTCCAATCCATGAGCATGGAAGATTTTTCCATTTTTTGGTATCCTCTTCTATTTCTTTCTTTAAGGTTTTGTAATTTTCATCGTAGAGATCTTTAACGTCCTTGGTTAAGTTTATTCCAAGGTATTTGATTGTTTTTGTAGCTATTGTGAATGGGATTGATCTTAGCAGTTCTTTCTCAGTCATGGCATTGCTTGTGTATACAAAGGCTGTTGATTTTTGTGCATTGATTTTATATCCTGCCACTTTGCCAAACTCCTCTATGAGTTCCAATAGTCTCTTAGTAGAGTTCTTTGGATCCTCTAAGTACAGAATCATGTCATCTGCAAAGAGGGATAGTTTGACTTCTTCCTTCTTGATTTGTATTCCTTTGATTTCTTTTTCTTGTCTGATGGCTCTGGCTAAAACTTCCAGAACTATGTTAAATAGCAGTGGTGAGAGTGGGCATCCCTGCCTGGTGCCAGATTTCAGTGGAAATGATTCCAACTTTTCCCCATTCAATAGGATGCTGGCTGTGGGTTTTTTATAAATTGCTTTGATTATATTGAGGAATGTTCCTTCTATACCCAATTTGCTTAGAGTTTTCATCATGAAAGGGTGTTGAATTTTATCAAATGCTTTCTCTGCATCAATTGAGATAACCATATGGTTTTTCCTCTGCAGTCTGTTAATGTGGTGAATCACATTGATTGATTTGCGAATGTTGAACCATCCCTGCATACCAGGGATGAATCCCACTTGGTCTGGGTGGATGATTTTCCTGATGTGTTGTTGTATTCTATTGGCCAGAATTTTATTGAGGATTTTTGCATCTATGTTCATCAGGGATATTGGTCTGTAATTTTCTTTCAGTGCTGCATCTTTCTCTGGCTTAGGGATTAAGGTGATGCTGGCTTCATAGAAAGAATTTGGGAGGATTCCCTCTTCTTCGATTGTTCTGAATAGTTTGAGAAGAAATGGGATTAGTTCTTCTTTAAATGTCTGGTAGAATTCAGCAGTGAATCCATCTTTCACCTGCTTGGTTTTGTTGGGAGGGCCTTTATTACTGTTTCAATTTCTGTTTCAGTTATGGGTCTATTTAGGTTTTCGATGTCTTCCTGGTTCAATTTAGGTAGGTTGCATGTGTCCAGGAATCTATCCATTTCTGATAGGTTTTCCTGTTTGCTGGCATACAGGTCCTTGTAGTAATTTCTGATGATTCTTTTTATTTCTGTGGTGTCTGTTGTTACGTTTCCTTTTTCATCTCTGATTTTATTGATTTGGGTCTTTTCTCTTCTTTTTTTAGTTAGTTGGGCCAATGGGGTGTCAATTTTGTTTATTTTTTCAAAAAACCAGCTTCTCGCTTGGCTGATTTTTTGTAATGTTTTTTTGGATTCAATCCTGTTAATTTCTTCTCTGGTTTTAATTATTTCTCTTCTCCTACTAGATTTGGGTTTGGTTTGCTGCAGTTTTTCTAGGTCCTTGAGGTGCGCTGAAAGCTCATTTATTTGGTACCTTTCCAATTTCTTGATATAGGCACCTATTGCTATAAATTTGCCTCTCAATACTGCTTTTGCTGTATCCCATAAGTTTTGATATGTTGTGTTGTTGTCTTCATTTACTTCCAGAAAGTTTTTGATTTCTCTTTTGATTTCTTGAATGACCCAGTGTTCATTCAGGAGCATGTTGTTCAGTCTCCATGTGTTTGCATACTTTCTGGGGTTTCCTGAGTTGCTAATTTCCAGCTTCATCCCGCTGTGGTCTGAGAAGCTGCATGGTATGATTCTAATTCTTTTAAATTTGCTGAGACTTGCTTTATGGCCTAGTATGTGATCAATCCTAGAGAAGGTTCCATGCGCTGCTGAGAAGAATGTGAAGTCTGTAGATGTAGGATTGAAAGTTCTGTAGATATCTGTTAGATCCATTTGGGCAATAGTGTCAATTAAATCTGCTGTTTCCTTGTTGATCTTCTGTCCGGATGATCTGTCTATTTCTGAGAGTGGAGTATTGAAGTCCCCCAGTACTATTGTATTGGAATCTAAATCTCCCTTTAAGTCCCTTAACATATCTTTTAAATAGACCGGTGCCCTGTAATTAGGTGCATATACATTTATAATAGTTACATCTTCCTGTTGAATTGAACCCTT